TGTATTCAATTACTTTTTGACAAAAGAGCTATAACTGAAGCAAAGCAACAAGCCCTTTTAGCAATGGTGTTGGAAAAACCAGTCAGTCAACATGTTAAAAAATGAACTCATACCCTTATCTCTGACCTTATACTTTACATAAGTCAATTCAAAATGAATAAAAAGACCTCAATATTAAACTTTCATCTATCAATTCTATTGAGGAAAACGGGCAGAGGCCTTAGAGAGACTGAACCTAGCAGCATCTTCAATCAATGCCACTGGTCAAGCAAGCAGAAGCAAAAATAAATTGACATCAAATTAAGAAGCTTCTATACCACAAGAGAAACAACTATAATAAAAGGATACCCCTCAGAATGGAAGAAAATATTTGCCTACCATTCATCTGAAAAAGGATTAAGAGTCATGATATCAGAGCATTGGAAAATTTAGTAATAAAAAGAAAACACCAATGCCATCAAAACCTGGGAAGAGATGAACAGATACTGAAAGAATCCATTTTAGGGCATCAAATTTTTGCGTGCTTCAGCTAACTTGCAACATTGCTTTCTGTAAAACTGCTTGGCTGAGAGGGGACTTGGAATGTGAACAGGGCATAACTTCTTTCTAAACCAAGTGTGACAGGATTCAGGTGTATTTACTGTTCCTGAAATGTACTGTCTCAGGAAAGCACCCTGCAGACTTGGGTAAAGGATAACTCAGGATGTGGGTAGATTGCCCATTCCGAGAACTATTGTCTTAGCAAAGACACCTGCAGATGTCTTGGGTAAAGGATAACTCAAAATGTGGATGGTCGAGGGAGATTACCTAAGGCTTAATGATTCCGGCTATAACCTTGCTTGTGCTGACAACTGATGTACTTAAATGCTGATCTTTGAATCTATAGGCTAAGGAGTGAGGTACTTTTAAATGGATTGGTTAAGAAAGTATATGTTGTTACAAATCTATTGGCTATGAAATGTGCGGGCCTTGCTGTAACGGCCAGTGAAGGCCTATATAAGACCTCCTTTGAAGAAGCTCGGGGCTCTCAGCCACTGCCCACTCTGGGGTATGCTGTGGAGCCCCAGCATGCTGGCCTAAATAAACCCCGTTTGTACTCCTGCAGGAATTGTGTCTGTCTGCTCTCTCTGCGCCTCCCAGGGCCAGGGTACTCCCGATCCCAACAATACTTACTTAAAGAAGAAAAACAGACTGGCAGTAAATCTATTTTAAAAAAAAAAAAATCATCACTGAGCTTCAGAACTGATCTGAGAAAGATGCCAGACCTAAGTTACCCCTGACAGGCCTAGACCTGTCTTTGGACCCTAGACAGAATTGGGGCTAACAGGATTCCTGCTCTGCCAAAGGTCCAGCACTCCACCCACCTATATCTTGCTCCCTCCACTGCCAGAGAAACTGCCCAGCTTCGTGAATGATCTCACAAAGTCAAGAAAGACAACTGCAGCTGATGGTCCCAGTTCCAAAGCCCTGAAGTGTGCAACCACATATATAGACATGCAACTCCTCCAAATTTCACACTGGGAGGATACCCAGTCAAAGTAAGAAAATTAGATGGTAAAATTGAGTCAAGCCCACTAAGCTCAATGAGTGAAAACAGTAACACAAGAGGCCCAACTCTCAAGGAAATCTTCAATAAATCCTCAGGCCATGACTTTAGCAACACCATTACAAGATACATGTTGTAACAAGCAGTGTAAAATAAATTAATTTGTGCCTGCTCATGAACCAGGCTTGCAAGGTAGGTGGAAAACTAGGGACACTGGTGGAGGTAAAGGCACATTGGCGATGGGACTAGTATAATACTGAATAACTGAAACAAATGTACTGTGAACATCTTTGTAAATCAGTGTTTAAAGTTTTTAAAAAAAAATCACTTATGCTCAAAGAAATGAAAATCAAAACAACAATGAGATACTACCTCATATCAGTCAGATTAGTAAATATAAAAAAGAACAAAAACAGAACCAGGAGTAAGCCCTGAGCATTGCTGGCTCTGGCCCCAAAAAACAGAAAATAAAAAGTAGAAATAAAAACAAAGCTGATGTAGATGTGAGGGTATGTCTACTGGCCCTGGCTCATCCTGTTTGAATAACAATATGTGAATACTTCTCAAAAAATTACTGATTGAAAGGCCAGAAAGAGAGTACAGTGAGGAAGGAAGTTGCCTCGCACAAAGTAGACCAGGTTCAATTAATTACTGGCATCCAAGAAGTTTCCTGAGTCCTGCCAGTGTTGACTGCAAGAGCAGACCCAGGAGTCAGCACTGGGTACCACTGAGTGTAGCCCCAAAACAAACAAAAACACACACCAAAAAATTGAGCTTCCATTTTACCCAGTATTCCAATTTATATTAAATACAGAGAAATCTTTATTGCTCATATAAAATACTGATATTTTTAGTAGAAACACCTGGAAAATAATTAAGAAACTAGAACATCTCTGTATAAAAACAAACCTGTACAGATCCACCTAAATTAGATTCTTTATAATTTTATCTTTATAAGGACAGGTGTTGCAATGGATTAACCACATTATTTAAGAAAGCAAAAATAAATTGCAGGCAATAAACACCTTTCTAAGAGGTTTAAAATATTTATTGTTCTAAAGTGAAGTGTTAGTTTTAGGAATTATACCAAATAATACCTATGAAACAAATATATCAGTCCATAATCCAAGGGAAAAAGGTTGAAATATCATTCCCCTCTCTAACAACAATTTCAAACTATTTTAAAGAAAAAGCAAAATTTAAAACAAGCAAAATTAAAACAGCTTCAGGAAACACCTTCATATTATAAACTGAGTAAAATGTGCACTTCACAAAATGTAACTTTTTTCTTAAAGAGTTTGAATCTAGACCCTGTATTCTGCCAGAGTAAGACAGAATAAACTTTTAACAATCAATTTCCTCATTCCTTAAGTAGCAATGAAAATACCTTCTCATAGGAAATACTGCATTAGATAATACTTCTAGAGTCCCAAACCCAATATGCAGTATATAGTAGGAGTTCAACCAATGACAGACACCTTCTTTAACAGACCCAACATCTGCATGAAATTTTCCTATTTCCCTCCCTCCTTCTCTCTCTCTCTCTCTCTCTCTCTCTCTCTCTCTCTCTCACTTTGCACATTTTAATCATTTTTGGAGTCTAACTAAAGAAATGTGTGTGTCATATATGGCACATTAGACAAAACTAGTATTTATAAATGTTAATTGTGTGCATATGCTGCCTGCATTATCTCTGAGGGTAAGGTATTAACATGAACCTGGAAGAGAGGCAGTCACATAGGAAGAAACCTACAAACTAAGTCTACAGCTTTAGATGTGATGACAATTATGAATTTTGTTATAATTCTTTTAAATATATGATAAAATATTTTCTTAAACAAAAAATATATTATTTTCCTCAGATTAACAAATTTGCTTTCAATTTAGAAACAGTTTTCCTACTGACTCATAAGTTTATTCATTTAAATTGATCTTAACATTGTCTTAAGTTTTACCAATTTTCACTTATTTATTTATACACCAAAAGTCTGCTGACAAGTTTCAGGCTTACAATGTTTCCACTCTAATTCTACCATCAGTTCTGCATTCTTCCACTGATTACTCCACATTCCCTCCCACTCCCAAACTTGTCTCCGTGACAGACAATTCTTCATTGCTTTTCAGGAAGACATTTAAATTGGTAAAATTCATTATTTTTATTAGAATCTCATGATTATTTGATCTTAACATTTTATGATGTTTATTTTTCGGGGGGGGGGGAGTTAAGCATTTCAATGAATAAGTTTAATGACTATACCATGATGGGTCTAAATTGGGAGTAGGGAGTTAGGGAGTGAGTCAGAAAATCCAAGCCAAAGCCTCATACTTCAAAACTGAAATAAATGTTCAACCACCGAGCTACATCCCCAACTATAAAACAGCTGAAATTTGATCCAACTTATCTTGAAATTATTTACTCTGTATTTCCTAACTCTATTAGACTAAACAGCTATAAACTTTAGTCTCCTTTTTTTGTTTTTTCCTTTTCTTCATTTCTTTTCAACTTTATCACCCATCTTTCAAAAAGAGAATAACTTTCCACATACACTCAAGAGCATAGCCTCTATGTAACTGAGTTCACAAAGAATCTAATTACACATTCCACTTTATTTGAACAAAGATTTTTTAAAGACAATGTCACTAACACAAAGTTAAAATTAAATAACTTTTAAAAACAACTGGAAGCATTCAATTAGAAAAAACTACATCCAGTTTTACGTGAATCTGAATATATCCAAAAAAACAAGTTGAATAGGAGGGTGGATCACATAAAGGTCTATTTTTCAATGAAGGTGAACAAACTGACACTCTACCAACTGTGAATGAGGGTTCCTTTTCCCAACAACCACACTAGCATTGACTGCTTTTCTTCTTATTTATGATAAACCAATCTGACTGGTAAGAGGTGATATCTTATTGTTGTTTTGATTTGTACTTCCCTGATGATAAGTTATGAAAAACATTTTTAAAAAACATATTGGTTATCTTCATGTCTTCTTTAAAGGTATAAGAAAAATGAAATCATGCAATTTGCTTCTACATGGATGAAACTACTGGGTATTATGCTGAGTGAAGTTAGAAGAAATGGGACAGACAAAATCATCCCCCAGATAAAGGACATGAAGAACAGAGTAGGGGAATAATAATGGGGAAAAGCAACAGAACCTGAGAGCTGATCTCAAGAACTGAGTTTACCAAATGTGGGTGCGTTGAAGGGGACCTTGGGACACTAGTGGATGGAAGTACACACTATAACGGAGTGTATGGTGTTAGATGATTATACACATGAAACCCTGCCATAAACAGTAGAACAAATATGGTATCTCCAATTAAACTAAACCAAAAAACTTGAAATAATTCAAAGTATATGTTAAACTGCATACCAATTTCTGAGTGACTGCTAATGAGATTTTGTTTAGGAAAAAGGGTGAGTAACAAATAAAATGAAACTTACTACTTTGAGCCAGGGCTTGCAGCAGACAATCCAAGCATCCTTCTAAGCTATCCTCAGTTCTGTCAACAGCAGTTATCTTTAGCTTCTTCAATATATCACTGAGATTATCTGTGTAGAGAAAAAGAGAAATCAGAAATCTTACTAAACACATAACCATCATGTTAGATGATAAAGAATACTAAGGACACAGAGAAATGTATTAACAACCACATACATTACAAAGTGGGAATAGGCTGGCTGCACTACTACTAGTTTTTTCAAATTAAGTATAAACCATTTTAACTCCAACAAAATTTTAATTCTGTATATACATATTCTAAAATTCCTATAGCACATCTTAGAAAGTTAGAGACTAGACCACATCACAACCTGATTTTTTCCTTCTGGAGAAGTCAGGGATCTCTTGAAAATATATCTCTCTTTCTTATTTGTCACATTCCTCTAGGTAAATTTCCTTAAACAAAACTATTCTACTTTACTATTTCATCTCTGTCTGAAAGTCTTTTCTGTGAGGACAAGCAATGTTCATTAAAAACTTGGATAGAGATTAGGACTTTTCTTTTTCTGTAAAGAACAATTCTTCACTCCAGTCTGAGTCCACACTCCACAACAACATGGGTGGTGGGGGCTAGTTATCACACTCTGTGAACCAAGTGGACTTCAGATGCACCTTGAGAACAACCTCATGGGGCTGATGGGACTGAGCATCCATGGAGTCTCTTTTATCAACCTTTAACAATCATTCCCCAAGACAGGCATTTCCCTGAAAGGATTATGATATGTAGAGCAGAAAAGTGAAACATTCTTCTTGAAGCTACATCCCTTGATATCCACTTCACCCAAGTTACCCACAACTCTTGGGTTGAGTCTGGAGTTCTGGTAGGAGCTGCTTCTCCCACCTGCAACATATCTATTAAAATTAATAATTTTTGGTGTTCTTTCATGTCAAGGAGAGGAACTGTCATGTTAAATGAAAGATTCATCTCTAGTTTTTTGGTAAGTCTCCATACTGTTTTCCATACAGGCTAAACCAAATGATATTCCACCAACAGTGAAAGGTTCCTTTTTCCAAAGAATTGAACAGCACCAGTTGCGTCAGATCTTTCTGACATATACCATTCTGACTGTATGAGCTAATATCTCATCGTCATTTTAATTTACCCTTATCCAAGAAGACAAAAGAGTTCCAGAAAAATTATCCAAAAACAAAGACATACCATAATCGAAATAGAATGATGATGAAAGGTAGGCTCCTAAAGGCATCTAAAGCCTAGACTTGCATGTAATGGAAACCCCAAAAAATACATCAGATTTTTGCTTTTTAATCGAATCACCCCAGATAAATAGATAAAGTTGTTCATAATTGGTTTTCTTGTCATACAATGTTTCAACACCTGTCTCTTCACTAGTATGTATTTCCCACCACCAGTGTCCTCAGTTCCCCTCCCACCACCACCACCCCCAGACTGCCTCAATGGCACACTTTCTTTTGCTTCTTCTTCTTCATCTTTGTCGTCCTCCTCCCATCTCACTCACATATGTTTGGGCATTAAGGTTTGCAATAGAGGTACTGAAAAATTGTCATGTATATTTCCTCACCTCTTTTCAGCACTGAGTTATTGTCTGAGTGATCATTTTCAATTATCACTGTGATAGTGGTCCCTTCTCTCTGCTCTGTCCTAACTGTGAACCCCTACACTAGTGGCAAGCTTACAAACATGGACCAGTCTTCCTCGCCCTCGTTTCTACTGTCAATGGGTCTCACACTATGTATTTTTATATACCAAAAAAAGAGTGCAAGAATTCTGTGTCTGTCCCTCTCCCTCTAATTCATTCCACTCAGCATGATACTCTCCATGTCCAGCCATTTATAAGCACATCTTATGACTTCATTTTTCCTGGAAGCTGCATAGTTTTCCACTGCATAGATATACCACAGTTTCTTTACCCAGTCATCCTCAGACACTTGGGTTATTTAAAGATTCTGGCAATTGTGAACAGTGCTGCAATAAATACACCATTGTTCAGATAGCTTTTCTACATTGTTATTGAGCCCCTGAGGAATATTCCCAGAAGTGGTACTGCTGGGTCATATGGAAGCTCAATTTCTAGTTTTTCGAGGAATGCCCATATTGTTTTCAAAAGAGTCTAGACCAGCCTTCATTCCCACCAACAATGAATGGGAGTCCATTTCTCCCACCAGCACTAGTTGTTCTTGTGCTTTTGGATGTGTGCCAGTCTCTGTGGTGTAAGATGGTATCTCATTGTTTTGATTTGTATCAACCCTGATGATTAGTGATGGAGAGAAGTTTTTCATGTGCCTTTTGGCCATTTGTATTTCTTTTTTGGAGAAGCTTCTGTTCATTTCTTCTCCCCATTTATTGATGGGGTTGGATTTTTTTTTCTTGTAAAGTTCTACCAGTGTCATGCATATCTTTGATATCAGCCCTTATCAGATGGATATTAGGTAAATAGTTTTTCCCATTCTGTGGGCTCTCTTTGTATATTGGTTACCATTTCCTTTGAAGCCCAGAAGTTTCATAGTTTAATGCACACTGGGCCACTCGAGCAAAACTGCTTGACCAATGGTGTTTCGTATTTGGTGGTGTCTTTAGCTTTAATGTCATGGAGTGCTCTGCCTACGTTTTCCACAGTGTACTTTATAAATTCAGATCTATTGCTCAGGCCTTTAATCTATTTGGATCTTTGTGTGCATGACATTAGAAAGAGGTATATTTAGTTTTTTGCATTTAGCTGACCAGCCTTCCTAGCACCACTTGTTGAAGAGACTTTCCTTGCTCCACTTCAATTTTCTTGCTCGTTTATCAAAGATTAAATGATCATATACCTAAGTGTCTGTCTCAATATTCAAGTCTATTCCATTAACCTGAGGGTCTGTCTTTATTCCAATACCATGCTATTTTAGTAACTATAGGTTTGTAGTACAGTTTGAACTTATGGATGGTGATGCCTCCCCTCCCTTCTTTTTTCCAAGGATTGCTTTATCTTTTTGTAAAGATTTTTTTCCATATGAATTTCAGGAGTGCTTGATTTATTTCCTTGGAAAATATCATATCTTTATAGTGACTGCATTGAATTCGTATAATGCTTTGGGAAGTATTGCCATTCTGGTGTCCCCATCCATGTAACAGGGGATGTGTCTCCATTTCCTCCTATACACTTTTATTTCTTGAAGCAATATTTGTATTTTTATTTGTATAGATACTTACTTCTTAGTTAAACTGATTTCACAGTCCTTAATTTTCTGGGGAACAACTGTGAACAGAATGTTTTTTTAGTATCTGTGTTCTTCTCTTTCGTTATTTGTATGAAGGAAAGCCATGGAGTTTTGGGCACTGATTTTGTAACCTGCCGCTCTACTAAACAAATCTATTGTTTCCAGGAGCATTTTTGTAGACTCTTTAGGATTTTCTAAAATATAGTATCATGTCATCAGCTGTGGGAAGCCAAGAGCCCTCTCACAGACCCTGGCCGTGGTTCCCATGTTAGGAACTGCTTGGGACAGACATTGGTGACAGTCTCCCAGGACTTCCTGATCTCAGGGGATACCTGATCTATAGCCACATAACATCAGGCTGACAGTTATCTTATCTGGCCTTATCTATAGTAACCTCCAGGATGCATCTACTGCCCTAAGACCCTTTGATATGCAAATGTAAAGCTCAGGATGCACCTACTGCCATAAGACCCTTTGATGTACAAATGTTTAGCTGGAATGTTAGGTAAAGTTCTTGTTGCTGACCTTACCATATATGGTTATATTGCTTCTGCTCCTGACTGAGCTGCCCCGATCCTATATAAACAGCCTATATCCCTCAATAAAGTCTGTCCCTTTTTCTCTCTGTTTCTAAACTGTACTCTGTCTCTTGTGTCTTGTGTTCATTCAGTCAGTCCTTCCCTGCACCTACAGATCCTAGGGCCACCTCCACGGGCCGGAGAGTGGTTTTGCGGGCCCTCCGCAATCAGCAAATAGTAAAGGCCTTATTTCTTCCTTTCCTATCTGGATGCCCTTGGTATCTTGTTTTTGCCTAATTGTAGGGTAAGCATTTCTAGTACTACATTGAATAAAAGCCATGAGAGTGGGCAACATTCTCTTGTGGCTGATAACAGAAAAAAGGTACTTAATTTTTCCCCACTGAGAACAATGCTTGCTGTGGGCTTGTGGTATACCATACTATACTATACCAAGGAAAGTTCCTTCAACTCCCATTTTATTGAAAGATTTTATCAAAAAAGAATGCTGGACCTTATTAAATGCTTTCTCTGCAGTTATTGATAGGATCACATGGTTTAACTTCCTTCTTTTATTGATACAGCATAATATGTTGTTTGACTTGCACATATTAAACTATCCTATTAACCCTATGATGAACCCTATTTGGTCATGGTCTATTATCTTTTTGATGAGTTGTTGGATTCTGTTTGCTAGTATTTTGTTATGCAAGGATCTTCTCATCTGGAGAACTATAGGGGAATGACCCTATAATTCTCTTCTTGCATGATGTCACTGTCTCCTTTGGTATCAGGATGGTATTTGCCTTATAGAAACTTTTGGGGATTGTTTCTGTTTCTTTGATTTTCTAAATAAGCCTAAAAAAGAATTTAAAGGTCCTCTTTAAAGGTTTTAAAGAATTCACAAGTGAATCTGTCTGAGCTTGGGCTTTTGTTTTAAGGAAGATTTTTTATTACTATTTCAATTTCCTCCATAGTGATAAGTCTGTTCAGGTGTTCCAAATATTCTTGGTTCAGCTTTAGGAGTTATAAGACTCCAGGAATTTATTCATTTCTTCTAGGTTTTCTTATTCCGTGGCATAAAGATTCTGAAAGTAAGCTCTGACGATCTCTTGAATTGCCATGTTTTCTGTTGTGATATTTCCCCTTCCATTTCTGATTCAGTTTACTAGGGTTCCCTCTCTCTCTTTGAAAGCCTTGCTAGTGTTTTATCATGTTGTTTGATTTTTTCAAAGAACCAGCTCTTGGTTTCACTGATCTTTTGAATGTGTTTGTGTGTGTGTGTGTGTGGGGGGGGGGGGGGAGGGGGAGGAGGACTTGGGGGAGGAAATTCCAGAATTCCAGCTTGTTAATTT